ATGCCACCACCAACGCCACCATCACCACCACAACCACCATCACTACCACTGCCACCACCACCACCACCGCCACCATCACCACCACCACCACCACCACTGCCACCGCCACCGCTCCCGGCTTTCAGGGTGGGCCAGGAATAAATCCCGGGGTTGCCCTGTGGCCTTAGCCTGCCAAGTAGCAGCGTTTACCCAGCGTGTGCTACCATGGCTAGGCTAACTTTATTAGGGATTAATTTTTTATGTAAAATGGAATGTGTTATAATTAGAACATTTTTATTTGTAGAGAGCAAGAAGAAAAACAGAAGTTAGCAGAAGATGCTGAAATGGTAAGTATAATTGTTGTATAATACATCTATAATTCAAAGTTATAACTAAAAAATCTGGGATTTTGCTAGAGTACATGCACTTGCCAGAGGGAAAGGGAGAAAGCACCGCCTCCATGAGGCATGATCATGCTGCAGTCCCTTTTCCTCCATTTCTTTATCCCGTTGGGTTTTTGGGTATACACACACCTGTATACACACATACACACACACATATACACACGGCATGTTTTTTGAGCGTTTGGACTAGGATTCAGACCACGGTTGGTCATATGAGATCCAGCTTCCTTAACCAAGCCACATTGCTGGCCCAGATTTGCCCATTTTTGAGTTTTTGGGTTTTTTTATTTCCAGAGTGCTGTGCTGACCAGAGAGAGGGAGGGAAGAAAGCACTCCTTAGTGGGGCATTGTCATGAAACAATCCCTTCTGGGTTTCTCCATACTGTCATATGATTTTGGGCATGCATGTACACATGCATAAGTGTGTTTTAGGCCACATGGGTCTGGCTTTCTTAGTCACCAAGCCAGGGGATCGGCCTTTTTTATTCTTAAAGTTTGTTTATTTTTTCTAAGATAGGTGGACAGACAGACAGGTACTCTCAACAGGATTTTCACACTACAGTCTACCTCCAATTCTGGGCATGTACAGAGAAGGGTGTAAATCCATGACCTTCCTGTGTGTTCCAGCAGCGCAGAACTATGCATTACTTCTGTGCTACCTGCTGGTCTCTCTTTAAGGAAAATATGTAAGATGTATGGTTGTCACTGCACTCATGTAATATACAAATAGTATTGCCTAGAATTACTTAAACCCAGAGACAGTTTATAACTAGATTTACACAGGTAGTAACTAATTGTCACTCAAAAGGCTGTGTCTATAGCCTTTAAGGGAGCCCAGATCCTACTTGGCCAGCTATGATTTGAACCCACTTGAGGCAGTTGCTACCTAGCAGCCTGCCTGCCTGCCTAAAGTTCTTTTGGATATTCTTCTTTGGCCCTGGCAGCTTGAAAAACATGCCTGGTACGAGTGTGTGCCCCAAATCTCAAAGGGATGAAGTGACAAAGAAGAGATTTTGTGGCAGGGCATGGTGGCACCTGCCCTATGGCCAAAAAAAAAAAAATCCTATAGAAAAGGGATTTTGTGACCACACACTACTTGAGGAGGGGTACTTTGTTGTCGCTGTGTGTCTCGCAAACACACACATTGGCAATTAGAAAAGTATGTCACATTTGGACTGGCACTGTAGCTTACTGGTTAAGGGAAGTCAGATCCCATGTGGCCAGTCATATTTCAAGTTCTGGCACTTGGCAGCTTGAAATTCATTCTGGGTGCATATATATGTGTGCCTAAAATCCTGACAACATAGAGGAATAGAGGGAAAGTAATTGTGGTGTGACCATGCCCTGTGTGAGTACTTCTTCCCCCCTTCTCTGATTAGCATATTTGAGCAGTGCTCATCATCAAGCATGCCCTCTGGCAGCTTTAAGAAAACAAAGAAATAAAGTTACTAGTAGAAATTAAATACAGAATTTTTAAGTTAAGGGGGGGAGGGTCAATGGGTAGCATGGTGGTTGAGGTGCTAGATTCCTATATGGCCGATCATGGTTTGATTCCCAGACCTGGCGGCTTGCACTCTCATGTTCTCTCTCTTTCTCATGAGCGCATGTGCCCTAAAGCAAATTTTAAAATAATAATAAATAAAATTAAATAATTCTAAAAGAAAAAAAGTTAAGGGAAGAAGGTAATTGAAAATAGGGTTGGCCCTCTAATATAGTAGTTAGGTGGTCATAGAGAAAGCCAGATATCATAGCTGACCTGGGTTCAAAGTCTTGACCCAGTTAGCTTGAAAAACATTCTAAGCATGCCCACATTGCCAGAATCCTGATGTATGACAGAGAATGGTGGGAGAAATTGTTGTAGCTTGACTAGGCTCTTATTGGAGGCTTTTCTCTTTTATGTGTATCTGATGCATGCTCTGTGGCTTTATATATATATATATAAGGTTTTGTCACAGCACATGTGCTCACCAGAGTGAGTCAGAGAGAGAGCGAGAGTGAGAAATAACACCCAGGGGGTTGGCAACACTACAATGCCTTCTTCTGGGATTTTGGGCACATGTACCCAGCATGATTTTCAAGCTGTCAGGTCCAGGATTGAATTGCTGTAAACCATGTTGGAGTCTAGCACCTTAGGCATCTGCTGGCCCCCGCCCTACGGGATTAAAAAAAAAAAGATTAAAAACATGATGTTTAGTCTTCAATATGAGCTCCATCAAGTTCAAGGCCCTTTTGTTAGATGATGATACCTCCTGAAAAATGAAGGATCTGAAAGTTTAACCATGTCAATACAGTCTTTTTTACATTATCTGTTGAAGAAATAGATGTCCTTTAGAGGTTTTCTAAAGATGAGTGAACAATGTCAGAAGTAGCTACATTAAGACTCTGAAGGTAGATGCTTAATAATTTCTCACTGAAACTTGCATAAGTTGCCATTGTTCGGTGAGATGTATGAGTAAGAACATTGCTGTGATGGAGAAGGACTCTGTTTAAGCTTCTTAGGCAAAGTTTTATTTATTTATTTTTAAAGAATTATTTAACTTTATTTAATTATTTTAATTTGACCAGAAAGGGACAGAGGAAGATAAAGAGAGAAAGTGAGAAAGCAAGCCACCAGGTGGTCCAGGATCAAACCAAGTCAGAATCAGCCCTGTGGGAATCCAGTGTCCTTAACCACCTTCTGGCTCCCTGGGCAAAGTTTTATTACTAAAGCTTTTGCTAACTTTTTTAAAGTACTCCTAAAATAAGCAGATGTTACATTCTTTGTTCTTCCAGAAAGTTTAAAGCAAAATGACATGAACATCCCAAAAATACTCTGCCATGGCTTTTGCTTTGACTGGACCACTTCTCTTACCAGGTCCACTTTCTTTGATTTCCACTTCTTGGTAGCTGTTGTTTTGATTGTAGTTTGTCTTCAGGATTGTACAGACCAAGCACCATGTCTCAAGTGTCAAAATTCTCCAAAGACATGCTTCAGGATTTTGATCCCACTTGTTTAAAATTTCCATTGAATGCTTAGCTCTTGTCAGCTGTTGAACTGGGCACAATGATTTTAGTACCCGCAGAGCAGAATGTTTGCTCACGTTTTTTTCAGTCAGAACCATGTAATTTGTACCACTTGTCTATTGGTTGTTTCTATTGATAATCATTGGTCCTCTTTAACAAGGGCACAATGAAATTAATTTTTTCCTTATAAATTGATAAGATCTGCCATTGCAGGCTATCATCTTCAACATCATCTCAAGACGCGTTATCCATTTATAATCCTTTGAGGTCTTTGAGGACATTATCCCCAGAAAATTTCCATAAACTGTCGGTTATTTCACTATCCTTCTACCCAAGCTTCTACCATAAATTTAATGATTGTTTTGTCTTCATTGTTAGAATTCATGTGGGACTGATAGCTCTTTTCAAAAAGCTTGATGTCTTACCCTTCTGAGTGCCTCAGCTAGATCCTGTTCAGACATGCAATAACAAGTTAGTTCAAGTTTATTTTGGTGTCCCCGGAAGGATGAAATTTATGCATCTTTTTTTTCCCTAACATTTCCTACATTTTCTGTGAACCTTTGAAGACCACTCCCCCCATGTCAAAATCAGAAGGGACTATAGTATAAAAGATGACAAGAAAAATGTAGTATTAAATAAACTTGCGCATTTTGGTTTCTAGCCTGTATAGGTATAGAATGGAATGAACCATTTCTGATTGGTGGTTGCTTCAAGAAACTTTTCATTGCTTTTGTATTTTTATAGAAATCTCTAGAAGAAAAGATTGGATGCTTGCTGAAATTTTCGGGTGACTTAGATGATCAGACCTGTAGAGAAGATTTGCACATCCTTTTCTCAAATCATGGTGAAATAAAATGGATAGATTTTATCAGAGGAGCAAAAGAGGTTTGGAGACATTTATTTGCATTATAGCTATTATAAGATATAGTACTAAAATATATAGAAACTTATTTTTTTCAAGATAGAATTAGTAGAAATTTTAAAATAGTATTTATTAAAATAGTTTTTATGTATTTTGAATTTTGTTACTCCTGTCATTAGATGTGGTGTCTGTTATTTTGGGAATATACTGTGAATAACTGTTGGTATTATTACTGTAGTATAAAAGTATAGTATTTCTTTTTTAATGTTCAGTGATATTTATTGAGACTGGCAATGTCATCAAAGGTCTGCAGACAGGAAAAGTTAGTTCAAGCAAATTAATTGTGGGACTAAAATCTAAAGATGTGGCTACTGTTTTCTGTCTTTGGTACAGGGCATAATTCTGTTTAAAGAAAAAGCCAAGAAAACCCTAGAAAAAGCCAAAGATGCAAATAATGGTAACCTACAATTAAGGAACAAAGCAGTCACTTGGGAAGTACTAGAAGGAGAGGAAGAAAAAGCAGCATTGAAAAAAATCATAGAAGATCAGCAAGAATCCCTAAACAAATGGAAGTCAAAAGGTCATTTATTTTTATTTTTCCATAACGTTTGGCTATTTTAACTCACTGACTTGAGTAACAAATATTTTAGTCTGTGTTGAAAAATATTGACTTACAACTGAGAATTTAGTAAAGAAATGTTTTAACTTCACAGGTCGCAAATTTAAAGGAAAAGGAAATAAAGCTGCTCAGCCTGCGTCTGCTAAAGCAAAAGTACAGTTTCAGGGCAAGAAAACCAAATTCGATAGTGATGATGACTTTGATGAATATGAACCATCAACTCGTAAGTTTTTCTAAGTCTCGTGGTAGTTTCATGAGAAATTTGTACTTTTATGAGAAATTATTTGCCTGAGGGAAAGGGGATGTGGTTTTTCAACTTCTACCTGTTATGCTGTTTTACTCTAGTGGTAGACAGAGGGCTGGATGGTAGCACAGTGGTAAAATGTGAGGCAGACCTACATGGCAAATGGGAGAATGGGTGTTTGGAAGATAAGTAGAAACTTGAGATCAGAAGGTCTATACTTAAGGAAAAGCTTTTTCTCATTGGTTTTTTTTTAGGGAAGTTGTTAATATTTTAAAACAGAATTATTAAGTACTTCGTATTAAAATAGAGCAGTGCTTATATTGAACTTAACAAAACACTCTGTTTCACTGTATAGGACCAGTGAAAAGAGCAAGAGAAGAAACAGCCACGAAAGAACCTGCATCAAAACAACAGAAAACATAAAATGGAGTGGAGACCAGTAGTTTAGTGAACAAATTTTTTATTCATTTTAATTAGGTTTAAGCTGCCTTTTGTCTTTGAAGCCTTTTAAAAAGAAAACCGAATTAGGTCCACTTCAATGTCCACCTGTAAGAACAAAATTTTTTTGTTGTTTAACTTGTCTTTTTGTTTTGTTTTGTTACCCCTCATGAGAATTTTTTTAAAATGTATAGTTCTGTTTGTGTTATTCAGATGATTCAAATATCAACAGGAAGACTCTTCTGCTAAATTGCTTTTGTAATATGAGAATGTATTAGTACAAACTAATAAAATGTACACTATATAAAAGAACAAAAACTTAGCTTATTTTTTTCCTTTTTGTGTCCAAAGCATTTAAGAAAGAACTTTTAAGTACTGGCTGTTGATTATGAACCCTTCCCATAGTTATTTATCCTAGCCCTAGGCTGACTTTCTATATTTCCCCAGAAAACTTGATAATATTAGAGTAATTACTGCAAAGCATTTCAATACAGAATGTAGACAAGAATCAAAAAACTTACTGATTTCTTTTTATGAAAATTGTATAATGCTGGCAGGTCATAGCGAAGCTCTGTGAAACAAAAACCATTATAGGATAAAACTTCTGTTTCCAAACATTTATTGTTTTTGAGAGATTTTTGGTAGACATTGTGTGCATTCACCAAAGAGATAGAAAGTGAGAAATCACCCCCCAGGGAGGATAGTCATGCTGCAATCTCTTCTCCATTCTCTTCCCAGGATCTTGGGCATGCACATACACGTGCCCAGCATGAGTTTCAAGCTCCTAGGTGTGGGACTTTAACTGTGGTTGCCATATGGGAGTACAGTGCAACTTAACCACTACACAGTTTCCAAACATTCAAATAAACACTTATGACCGAAAACAGTCACAATAAACTAAGAAATACCAATGCTAGTAAGCTGAATATTTTAGACTTGTCATTTTTATTCATCCAAGGCTTTACTGACTTTACTAAAGATCATGGCAGAGTTTGGCATCTCTACTATTTTAGCCACTTTCATACCCCAAATGTGAGGCAATAGGGAAGAATTTAAAAGGATAACAAGTAGACAAGAGTAAATCCTATGAAAAAGTATTTTTAATTTTCTAGTAATCATATTTCCTTTTTTTTGCCCAGTCTTAGTGCTGGTAGTAAGTAGCTAATTATTTTTCTGTTAAACTCTCAAATGAAAACCCATTTTCATTTTTAAGGAATAATGTTCACTCTTACTATAGTCTCATTTATAAGGGTGGCAGTGAGTCTACCTATCGTCCATATTTTGTAGCAAATCCTAAGCCTGTAGGTCACAACTCTCAAAAAAAAATTTTTTTTAACACAGATTTTTGCTATAGGAGGGTGTATGTGCTTGTCGAAGAGACAAAAGTGAGAAATCAAGAAATCACTTCCTGGAGGGATGGCCACACCACACCACCATCCCTTCTCTTGGGATTTGGGGCACGCATGTACATGTACCCGGCTCTCAAATTTTAATGTGCCGTCCATCAAATCATATGAGGATCTCATTGAAAATGAAAATTGTATTTATATAGCTCTCTATGTAGCCAGAAATTCTGGACTGCGTGAAGTTTTCTGTGTGGCATATGTGCTTTCCAGAGAAAGGAAGGGAAAGTGAGAAACCTCACGGCCAGCGGATGGCCATGCCTCATACCTTCTCCAGTCTCAGGAGTTTGGGCATGCATGTATGCATGTACATATACCCAGAGTGTATATCAAGCTGCCAGGTCAAGGACCTGAACTGTGCAATTGGCCATATGAAATCCAGCCACCTCCTCCCTGAAAATTCTGTATTTCTTTTTTGTTTTTTTCGAGGTTTTTGCTATAGGGCGCATGCGCTCGCCAGACAGAGAGACAGAAAGCGAGAAATCACCCCCCCCTCCCGGAGGGGATGGCCACGCCGCAATCCCTTCTCCATTCTCCTCTCGGGATCTTGGGCATGCACGCACACGCGCCCGGCGTGAGTTTAAGCCACCGGGTCCAGTACACAAACTGTGGTCGACTATGTGGGAGTCCAGCGACATAGCCATTATGCTAACTGCTGGTCCTGAAAATTCTGTATTTCTAACACTCCCAAGGATGTCATTATTGATGGTCTGAGTACATTTGGAGTAGCAAAGTCTCTGGTTTAGCATACTACTGGAACTGTTCTAAGGTGCTCCATAGTGCATATTGTAAAAGACTATTTTAAGGAATGACAGTATTAATGGAATATGAAGACCAACAGATCTTTTTTATAAATTACTAATTATTAAGAACAGTAATAACTTAGTTATGTTTAAATTTAAAGTGCCAATTCACGGTAAGTTTATTATTGTGTATAAAATGTGTTCCTCTATTTTCTTGCAGGTTTTTCAGAATTATTTGGATTACAACTAGTCTTTAGTTAAATGCTTTTCCCATTCTGATGTTTGGGAACATTATCCAACTTGGTAATAAAATTGTATCAAACATGATTTACTCATAGTGTGGATGTTTATGTTTTATCTCCCACCAAAAAGAAAAATGCCCGTGTTTGATTTCAGGGAGTTAGAATATTGAAATAGAAATGCAGGAGACCAGCAGATGGTGTTACGTTGCTGGGCTTTCACATAGTTAACTGTGGTTTGAGTCCTGGACCTGGCAGCTTAAAACTCCCTGGGTGCATCAATGTGTGTGTGCTCAAAATCCTGAGAAATGGACGAAAGGGGATTGCAGCATAGGTGGTGATTTCTTGCTTACTGTCTGTGTCTCTGTTGAGCACGTGCACCCTATAGCAAAAATGTCTCAGAAAAAATAGAAATGCAGTTATTCAGGCATAACCTGGTGGCATTTTCCATGATTAGATTTTTTTTAAGAATTACTTTAATTCAATTTTATTTATTCATCCATTTATTTTGACCAGAGAGAGAGACAGAGAAGAGAGAGTGAGAAAGTAAGCCACCAAGTCTAGGACTTGAACTGTGGTTGGCCATGTGGGAGTGTCTAGCGCTTTAACCACCACACTACCTGCTGGTCCCTCTGTGATTAGATTTCAAACTCAAGTTTCAAACCAAGTTTAAGGTCATATTTTTAGTCACTATGATGATACACAGTATTCTGTCTGAGCCTGAATGAAAGATACCTGGGTGTTATTAGAAATTTTCAGTAGAATACATAAACTGGCTCAGTCTCAGGCAAACCTTCATAATTTCCAATTCATTACCAATAATGCACATTTTGCCACACAGCAAAGCATGTTCTGTAATTTATTTTCTTAGCATCTAAAAATTTTGCTTGGGCTAATACAGTTGGTCCTTTTAGGTAAGTGTAAGTCTATCTTACCTGCAATAATATCCATCTTGATTTTCCATTCTGCAGCTTTCTTTTGAATATGCTGAACATAAGTAACATGTTAATATGAGCTGATTTTTAAATAATGTTTCTTTAAAGTTGCATTTTACTAATACTTAGTTTTCAAAATCATAAAATTTCATTATACGCTTTAGACCGTTGTAAATATTTCAAGTGGACTAGTAATATTTTGAAAATAAGAATTCAAGCCATTACAGTTTAACAGTCTTAATCAAATTATTTAATTAAATTTAAGTAATAAAACTATTTCAGAAATGTACCCAAATATTCATGGTTTCTGTAGCATTTTATTTTTATTACTAGTTTTCCAGAGGGCATGTGCACTCACATGAGCAAGAGAAAGCCCCTCTCTTACCAATGGGGCACAGTCATGCTGCAATCCTCTCCCATCCTATTTTGGACATGCACACACATGCCTGGTATACTTTTCAAGCCTCCATGCTGCAATTCAAACTGCAGTCAGCCATGTGGGTTAGACTACAAATGTACAGTAAGTAATCAACTACTGTACTACTGGGCCAGCCCTACATTATTTTACTAATACACACAGCTAGCTATCCTAGAAAACCTTTAGCAGAGCTCTATGTCCACAGGCAATTCAGTGGCAAGGTGATCGAGTAGTTAAGAACATAGTCTTGGGACCAGCAGTTAGTGTAATGGCTATGTCGCTGAACTCCCATGTAGTCGACTGTGGTTCGAGTCCTGGACCTGGTGGCTTAAACTCATGCCGGGCGTGTGTGCGTGCGTGCCCAAGATCCCAAGAGGAGAATGGAGGAGAAGGGATTGCAGCATGGCCATCCTCCCTGGGGGGTGATTTCTCGCTTTCTGTCTCTGTCTTTCTGCCGAGCGCATGTGCCCTATAGCAAAAACCTAAAAGAAAAAAAAAAAGAACATAGTCTCTTGAGCCAGATGGCCTGCATCTGAACTATAGATCTGCTACTTAGAAGCTATGTAACCCTGAGCAAAGTTACTCATTTGTCTCATGCCTCAATTTTATCATCTGTTAAGTAAGGAAGATACTCTTCATGAGATTGTTGTAGACTATGAAAAGTATTTTGAACTGTGCCAGCATGATAGTACAAACCAAATAGGTTAGTTATAGGTCTAAATTCACAAAGAATTAACTTATTTTTAGTAGTTTGGTATTAAAATTTCTTCAGGAATTTTTTTTTTTTTCAATGTGTTTGCTGAAGTTTGCATGTGTTTGCCAGAGCGAGAGAATGAAAAAGAAAGGTGACAAATCACCCACCCCCAGGGTAGATGTCCATGCTGCAATCCCTTCTTTATTCTCCTCTTAGGATTTAAACCATGGTTTTGCTCAGATGATTTTCAAGCTTCCAGGTCCAGGACTCAAACCATGGTTGGCCACATGGGAGTCTAGTGCCTTAACCACCATGTCACCTGTTGGCCCCACCTTATGAATTTTAAAATATATTCAATACTTCAACATCAATGGAAATGAATAAAGACCATAACTATAACCCTGCAAATGTACATGCATTAGTTTTCTAGAAATGCTAATAGAGACCTCAATACATGATACAGGCATTTCATCCATGTTTGTGGTCTTCGTAATACTTTTTATTAAGTTGTCAAACTATTTCACTTCATTCTTAAGGTCCAAATATTTCCAGTGCCGTAAATAACACATTAATTTGTGCTTGTAGTTTCTTTTCCTGAATTAAGTAATCTCAGTTCTGGGCTTATTTTCTCCACTTTGAGATCTAAAATTTCCACATAAATACACAGATTTTAATGTAAGCATTATTATAATTTAATGCAATCTTAAGATCTTGATAAATTTGTAAGAAAAAGCTATGACATTTCTTTGCTAAGGGAGCCCTAAGGTTAGTGATGTTAGATAATACAATGGGATATGGTTGCCTTTGGCAGAGGTAAATAAAAGGGCTGTGCTTGGGATAAACACTGAAATAATACCATGCTTACCTATTCTATTACTCTGTCAAATCTGTGCCAAGAACTAAATTTGCACAATGCCTGATAAAGTAACATGACAACAGCTTTGAAAAGGCAAGCTGCCAGGCTTGCAGTCACCTATGTGAGAGTCCAGCACCTTAATCACCATGCTACCTGCCAGCCTCACACAGTCAAGTAGTTTTAAAGAACAAGGGATAGCTAAGGAAACTGGGGTAAGCTTCAGCAACAGTATTACTAATTACAGACATCTTTTGACTTAAGATGGTTCAATTTATGATTTTTCAGCTTTAGGAAGGTGAGAAAGTGATAATGTATTAAATAGACATACTTCCAAGTACCTATATACCATTCTGTTTTTCATCCTCAGTATGGTATGTGATAAATTATATGAGATATTCAAGATTTTGTATTAGATGATTTTGTGCAACTGTAGGTAATTCTGTGTTCTGAGAACATTAAAGGTAGGCCAGGACAAACTATGATGTCTGATAAGGTAGGTATATTCAATGCATCCTGTGACTTGCCATATTTTCAACTTGTGGGTTTATTGGGACATAACGCCATTGTAAGTCAAGGACCATTGCACATAGAGTACTTAAAACAAGTAAAATTACCCCAAGTTTATAGGAGATATAGCTACATAAAATGGGACTTTTAAAAAATATTGCCAGAGAGTGTGAGCACTATCTTGAGACCCATGTGGGTTGGGAACAGAGTGAGAAAGCACCCCAATGGGGGATGGTCACACCACAATCCTTTTTCCATTTTTTGAGATTTGGGGCATGTATTCACACACACCTGTTTTTTGGTTTTTGTTCATTTTCAAGCCATCTGGTTCAGGACTTGAACCAGGGTCTTACCATGTGGAATCCAGCCACATTAACTTCCATGCCACTAATTGGTCCAGGAGCTGTTTTTTGTTTTTGTTTTTGTTTTTTTCTTTTCTTTTTTCTATAGGGCACAATGAACTTGCCAGAGACGGAAAGTGAGAAATCACCCTCCCCAAGGCAAGTGGCTACATCCCTTCTTGTATAATCTCCTTGTGGGATTTTGGAGATGCACACACATGCATCCAGTGATTTTCAAGCCACAAGTCTGGGACTTGAAATGCGTAGTCTGTCATGTGTGATCCAGTGCCTTAACCTTTATACCACCTGCTGGTCTGGAATCTTTTTTTTTTTTGAGATATTTCTGCCATAGGGCGCATGTGCTCGCCAGAAAGACAGAGAAAGACAGAGACAGAAAGCGAGAAATTCCCCCCCCCCCCCAGGGGGATGGCCACACTGCAATCCCTTCTCCTCCATTCTCCTCTTTGGATATTGGGCATGCATGCACACATGTCCAACATGAGTTTAAAGCCACTGGGTCCAGGACTTGAACTGCGGTCGACTACATGGGAGTCCAGTGACATAGCCATTATGCCAGCTGCTTGTCCCTGGGACTGTCTTAATACTACTAGTTCATTCCTCATCCTACCTCATTCCCAGTATGCTTAAAACACCCCAGATTGATTTCTTAGTTACTGTGCTCATGGAAATCCTTCTGCACTAATTAAAAAAATGGTCTTAAATTAATGAAATATTTACTTAAAACACAATTTAATAATCTGCCAAGGAAATGCTCATGCTGCCTCATAGTGCCAGAGCATGGCAAATCAAATAGCAAAGATCTGAGTTCTTTGCTATTCAAAGAACTATGAATTTGGGAATTCATTCAAATAACTACAGGAATTGATTCAAATAACTAGATATTACTACTTAATTGCACCATTTTTTACTGGATTTTTTTTAAACTTCTGCTATAGGATGTGTGCGCTCACAAGTGACTGAGATAGAGAGAGAGAAAGGAAAAGTGGGAAAGTAACCCCCAGGGGGAATGGCCAGACTATACCTTCTCCACTCCATTGAGATTTTGGGCATCCACATACACACACCTAGTTTGAGTTTCCAGGACTTGAACCACGGAGTTGGCCAAATGGGATCCAATTGTCTTAACCTCCATGCCACCTACTAGTCCTTTAGTGGCATATTTTATTTCATGAACTATATATGAGTTCATTGAAAACTTATATTATGCCAAGCTAAATAGAAAAAGTTTATAGCATGCCTGATTAGTTATCTTTAGGTCCCTTACAAGTTTGGCTCTTGGCTATAGATTGGGAACTTATTTTTTGGAACTTCTCACCCTGATAATTACTCAGAGGAGATCACTGTGACTGTGGTGAAAAACTTTTTTTCCCACTGGGAGTCTGGAATTTGGGCATATGTGGCATTTAGTATTCATAGCTAATTCTTAAAAGACTATCACAAATTTAAAAATAAATGACATGAGCCCAGTTGTGGTGGTGTTTGGGAGGCTGAAACTGTATTGGAGGCTTGGTTCAGTTCCCAGGCCAACCTGAACACCAGGCACAGGAACCTGTCAAAAACTCTTACTGAGTGACCAGAAGTTAGCGTAATGGCTATGTCGCTGAACTCCCATGTAGTCAACCGCAATTCGCGTCCTGGACCCGGTGGCTTAAACTCATGCCGGGCACATGTGCATGCATGCGTGCCTAAGATCCTGAGAGGAGAATGGAGGAGAAGGGATTGCGGTGTGGCCATCCCCCCCGGGGGGTGATTTCTTGCTTCCTGTCTCTCTGTCTCTGTCTGTCTGGCGAGTGCATGCACCCTATGTCAAAAACCTCTCAAAAACAAAAACAAAAACAAAAAAAACCTCTTACTGATATCTCTTTCCTTTTCCCACTCCCTCTCTCTCTCTCATAATAGGAAAGTGAATGAATAAATGACATGGAGTATCATGATGCTTTGAACTTACTTTTCTAGTTGAAGATTTGTGTAAAGAATATACTGCTGTTCTTGCCATTTCCAAAGCAGTTTTTAGAAAAACCATATCTGTTCCTGTGAAGAATAGAAAAAGTTCCCATTTATATTATGTACCTCTTACCCAAAAAGATTAAATGACTAGGATTTGGAAACATTTTTCCTAACTCCAAAATAGCCACTTCATATTTTTTCTGCAATAAGACAGTATTATTAAATATAAAAGTATTATTTTAAGGGTGATAGAATAAAACTTGAATCATGTCTTAATTAAATAAAGCTAAAGTACAAACTTTAATACTATACTTCAAATTGATGACTTTCAAAAGGAGAGAAGAAAACATGTAAGTTATCTTGGAGTAGGGAGACATGATTAACTATGTATATCTTTTCCTCTTCTTACTGATTTCCTACTTTCTATGCTAATAGTACACACAAAATTACTAGCCAAAGTGATTCAGTTACTAATGGGTACATGTTGAATCCCTGGGGTGTGTTAGGGCATTTAAAGCAGGTTCTAGGCCCAGCAAGCTAAGGTTACATGAAGGGCCTGAATTTGATTCCTGGCCTAATCTAAAAAGGCTGGGCAAAGCGGTATGTGCTTGTGGTCCTAGCTAACTGGGAAGTGGTGGTAGGCTGATTGTGATGTTAAGACCTGTCAAAAAGAACTTTGTACTAACCTCTCTCTCATGGGGAATAAAAAAAAAGGTTCTGAAAGAAGAAAATCCTTCATAGGTTTCATAATCATCTATAAAGGCTAGGCAAATGCTTTTTTTCATTTTTTTTTTTTTTAGGTTTATTCTTCCATGAGAAAGAGACAACATCCCTAACAGAGTCTTGAAGCAGCAATCTACCCCCAGCTTCACCCAGCCCCACATACATGCCCCAACTACTCAGAGAGGTCTTCAGATAGGGAAGATTACCAGAACTTGCCCATGTGAGTCAGTCTCACAGAGCACAGTGTTTACCAGTGCACTATCATGTGCCTCCAGGCAAATCACTCTTTTTTTTTTTAAAAATAATTCTTTCATTTAACTTTGTTTGTTTGTTTAAATTTGACCAGAGAGGGACAGAGTGAGAGAGAGAAAAACAGAGAATGAAAGTAAGAAAGCAAGCCACTAGGTCCAGGACTTGAAGCGCAGTCGGCCATGTAGGAGTCCAGCACCCTTAACCAACATGCCACCTGCAGGCTCCCCAACAGGCAAATCATTCTTGAAAGCAAAGATGGTATTAAGTGATAAATGAAAAAAAAGACTGTCTTTATTTACTTAATATAAATTTGTAAAAACAAAGATTAAAATTTCAGTTCTCTAGCTATGCATTAAATTGGAATTTAAGTTATAACTATATAGGCTGCAGACTGATTATTTTCATGAACAGCAATAAAGATTACTTAATACAAATTGTAAAAGATAAAATCATTTTGGTAAAGAACTATTTATTTATTTATTTTTAGGTTTCTGCCTTAGGGTGCATGTGCTCGCCAGAGACAGAGATAGTGAGAGGGAAAGTGAGAAATCAACCCCGGGGGGTGGGGGGGCAGGGGAAATGGCCACACCACAATCCCTTCTCCATTCTCTCCAGGATCTTGGACACGCACCTGGTGTGATTTTCAAGCCCTGGGCCCAGAACTCGAACTCCAGTTGGAATCCATCAACTTAACCACTATGCCATCTGCTGGTCCCTATATTATTTTTAAAAATTTGCTACAGGGCAGATGCGCTCATCAGAAAGAGAGAGAGAGAGAGAGAGAGAGAGAGAGGAAGCAAGCCCACCAGGTTGAGACTAGAACCATGGTCAACCATGTGAGTCCAGTGCCCCAACCACCATACCACCTGCTGGCCCCAATAAAATCATTTTTCAAACTTGCATTTCTACAAATATACCAGTACACCTGATTCTTATTACCAACCTTTATTGTTTTTGGTCCCAAAGGGAGGATTCATAATTACGGTATCAAATGACTTGGACATTGTGTTAGATAATAAACACACATTACATTGAACCATGTCAACATTTGTTAACTCGAACTCTTCTATATTCCTATTAAATATTTCTAATGCATCTTCATCTATGTCAAATCCAATACACAACCTAGAAAATATAAAACAGAAAGAGTAACTTATATCTTCTAAGAAAACAAAAAGAAAATTAGCTATTTTATCTTTTTAACCCAAGTGTCAAAAAGCATCACTTATCTTTCTTTCTTTGTGTACTCACCAGGGAAAGGGAGAAGAAAGCACCCCATGATAGGGCATGGTCATACCATGATCCCTTTTCCTCCGTGTCTCCATCCTGTTGGTATTTTGGGCACATATCTAGTGTACTTTTCAAGCTACCAGGGCCAGGATTCAAACCATGTGGGATATGGTTCCCTTAACTACTAAGGTCTTGGGCTGGCGCAAGTATCATATTTCAACTGCATAATTTCACAACCTGGCAGAAGTTGGAAAGTCAGGTCTGTATACAGCAATTGCTGCTATTATTTTTTGTAGTAAATATGCTTTGATTTTCTGCCCATTTAAAACATAGTTAATATCAGTTTCTCGCTCTCCCTTTTTTTTTTTTTTTTTGCCATAAGGTACATGCACTCACTGGAGAAAGACAGAGAGAGACAGTGATAAATTACCCCCCCAGGGGATGGCCATACTGCAATCCTTTTTCCTCCATTCTCCTTCTGGGATTTTGGGCACACATGTACATACGCCTGGCATGATTTTCAAGCCACCAGGTCCAGGACTGGAACCTCAATCGGCCATGTGAGAGTCCAGCATCTTAAACACTATGCCCACTGCTGGCCCCACTAAGTATCAGATTCTTATTCCTCTTTACCTTATACTATAAAATCCCAGAAGTATAAATCAGTTGATTCCACTTATTAAAGCCACCCCATACCCAAATAGAATATACTAGATCACCTACCCTGCTCCTAACATTGCAGCTCCGATGCTAAGCACTCCACAACCACATCCTAGATCTGCAACCACTTTATTTTCAATGTCATCATAAGTGTTATGGATTGTATAAAGCATACATGCTAAAAAAAACACACACACGGAATAAGCAAGCTGATAACTAAAATCCATTTGTGCAAATGACTTTCTGATACAATTTTCTGTCTTGTATGATTTAGTTCTCCCCAAATGGTGTTCCAAATTATCTATCTATCTATCTATCTATCTATCTATCTATCTATCTATCTAAAAGATGGTGCATGTAGTAAGAGGCATCATGGAGGATGAAACACACAGTGGTTCCCCAAGACTAGACTCTGCCGACAATGCCAAGAATGAAAAAATCGTGACCAGTCTCTGAGGTAAAATGAGAAAAATAGTATGTTTTTTAATTTTCCTTAGCCTTTTCAAAACATTGCATAGACACATATACTTACCAGTTTTTTTCTTTGATGTTGAAGTGTTTTAAATAGGTTTAAAAAGTGTCCTTCCTTGTAAATATATAAATCAGGCACCCCTGTATCAGTCTCCAAAATTGTTTTTGAAATTATACTGATCTGTGAAATCTATAACTCTAGGAACCTTCATATAAAACCAGCATCAGCATAAAACAGGCACAGAATTTTTTTTTTGCAAGTTTGTCACGAGAACATGGGTGTCATAAGCTCCTACATCCACAATACAGCCTTTGAACAAATATATTCCTGATCTATAGGTACATATATATTTATAATGTATAAATGAGACCTGAAAGAGAAATACAAAGGAGCAGGGCAGAAGCTGCTGAGATTAGAAAGGAATTTTTCAAATAAACAAGGAGTTGGATATACTGATGGGTAACCAGGAATAACACCACTGATACCTTCCCTATGGAATATGAACCCAGCAAGGACTACTGGCCATCACTGATACCTGAGCATCCAAAGGTTTTATTAAAAACACAATTACAGGGGCCAGCAGATGGAGTAACGGTTACATCGCTGAATTCCCTAATAGTTGACTGCAGTTCAGGTCCCAGATCTGGTGGCTTAAAATTCATGCCAGGCACTTGCATGTGCTTGCCCAACATCCCAGGAGGAGAATGGAGAAGAGATTGTGGCATGACCACTCCTCCTGGGTGATGATTTCTTGCTTTCTGTCTGTCTTCCTCTGCCTCTCTGGTGAGCACATGTGACCTATAGCAAAAATCTCTCTCTAAAAAAAAATAATGTATAAAAACCACACACACAACTATAGGGACATCTCAAGTTAACAGTGCTGTCCTGATCATTGCTGCAGGAGTGAGTGACTTTGAAGTTGGTATCTCAAAAAATGAGCATACCCATGTGCAGGTTACACACTGAATGTGAAACAACTGATATTTTAAAATATTGGACTCTAAAAAAAAACCCCAACAAAGAGATTATAAGAAGGCGTTATTGGGCCAGTCAGCAGCATGGTTGTGGCAGCTAGGTCCCATAAAGTTGACTGCATGGTTTGAGTCCCAGACCCGTCAACTTGAAAACACACCCAGCACATGTGTGCCCAAAATCCCAAAAAGAGGAGATATGGAGAAGGGATTGCAGGGTATCCCCCATAGGGGGTACTTTCCCACTTTCCCTCTCTCTGTCTCTCTAATGAGCCCATGCTCCCTCTAGCATGTTGAACAAAAAAAAAAGGGGGGGGAGCAGCATTATGTAAATTACGAAGACTGGGGCCAGCAGGTAGTATGGTACTTAAGGTGCTAGATTCCCATGTGGCTCACCACAGTTTGAATTCCAACCCTGGCAGCTTGAAAATCATGCCAAGCATGTGTGTGTGCGTGCGTGTCTCAAGTCCCAATAGAACAGAGGAGAAGGGATTGTGGTGATTTCTGACCTTCCTCTCACTGTCTCTGTATCTCTCTAGTGAGCACTTTCACATTACGGGGAAGAAAAAAAAGATATAAATTAAGAAAACTGATCTCAGGACCAGCAGATGGCGGTGGGACTCCCACGTATGCAACGCCGGTTCAAGTCCCGGACGTGGCGACTTAAAACTCAAGCCAGGCGTGTCCAAGATCCCAACAGAATGGAGGAAAAGGTACTGTGGTGTGGCCATCCCCCCCAGGGGGTGATAGCTCCCTTTCTGTCTCTCTGTCTCTCCAGCGTGTACACAAGCACTAGAGCAAAAAACAAAATCAAACAAAAAAATTTCAGGAAAAAAACAAGAAAGCTGATCTTAACCTAGGTATAGCAGACCTGTGCAAATTTTGGTTGGAATTACAACAACTTATAGGAATTTAGTGCAGGTATGTGTTCTCTCTGACTTTCATTGGTAGATTAGAAACAAACTATTCCAGAAATGGAAAAAACTAGTCCTTGCAGGGGTTAGCAGCAAATTCATTTTCCTAATACTTCCCAACAGCTTTTTTTTTTTTTTGAGAGGTTTTTGCTATAGGGCACATG